CCAGATACAGAGGGAGGAAAGGTAGTAGAACGAGGGAGAAGAGACAGAGGGAGAGCTCCATCATAGAGATGAATGTTAAGAAAAAGAAGTTATTATTTATGGGCCAGAATATTGAGAGGTTAAGAAACAACATACCCATTCGATGAGTGTAGCAAAGATGGGGACATTGAGATGGATGAGTGACAAGACAAGAAGGATAACATTTGAAACAAATACACAGAGAATGTAGACTTTATGGGCTAGATATTGCAGTATGTTAGGAGGTGTGAGTTAGTTTAAGTAGAAGGCTAAAAAAGAACAAGGTGTAGGCTTAAAAGGACATGGCTGAAAGTAATAGAAATAGAATCCAACAATTTAAGTTTTTAAAAAGGCCACAGTAGAAATTTTTTTTTTGAGAGAATGTGACAAGATAGGAAAGTGTATATTATATGTAACAAGACAAGAAAATATATATTGTACCATTGTATCACCATTATTGCCATAATGTTGTGAGGGCACAATTATTTTTCAGAAATTCCTCTCTCTAAAGTTTATTTATGGTATCAGAGCACGCAGTAACCTTCTCTTTCTCCTGATGCTTCAATCAATAACCCCGACTCACAGCAATTGCACATTTTATTTTCCTCAATTCTCATCTTATTCATGTTTCCTTTTTCTCTTTTCTTTTTTTTCTTCATTTTTCTCAAGTCTTATCTTCCTCATGTTTCTTGTCTGCATTTGTATTGTACTTTTAAAATTCAAAATTTTACTTAAACATTAGGTTGAATTAGAATCCGTAATATGGTATTGAGAGAATTTCTAATTTCAATTAAGTAAAAATATATTGCTCAAGACGAAATTTAGTCATTTTTTTCTAAACCACTTTTAGTTATGGAAATTTATTTTCCTAAAAACACACTACTAAAATGATTACTTATAAATATATTTTTTTTTTTTCCAATTTTGTGAAAGGCCTTGAGGGAATAATTTTTCCCAATAGCATGTTATTTTCTAGTATTTATTCAAAAAATACGAATTTGATATGATATTTTAATTTTAAATAATAATTAGAAATTTTTCATTTTAATATTTAACATTAAAAGGTAAAATTCTTTAAAATGTACTTAGTAAATATAAGTGAGTCTAATTTATAATTATAAATTAAAATTTACTATTGGGAAATATCAATAATCAATAAATCAATTACAACCATTCTAATTATCTATTTGGCACTTAGCCGTCGAATTGGTTGCGATTTAGTGTTGCCACCGACATTCTCAAAGTAAAATATACTCTCATTTATAAATTTTTAAAGCCAGTGTTTTAAAAATCGGAACAACTAAGGTAATTGGCCTTTCAGAAATTCAGTATAGATTAACGGATTGGTGATCTAGATTGGTAATGGGACATTACATATTGATGAATCAGTGATCTAGACTGATGAATTGGACAGTACAGATTGATGGATCGGTGATCTCGTTAAGTGAACTGGACTGATTCTCACACAAGAGAAGTGGTCCAAAAATTTTAACAATAAAAAATACCAAAACTTACCGAATCTCCCTTTAACAATAAATTTTAAATATATTGTTTCCATCTATGAAAAAATCACATGATTAGACCCATAAGTCTTTTGTCCAGTCTTTACAAAATTATTGCGGAAGTCTTAGCCGAGAGACTAAAGCGAGTTATTCCTTATGTGGTCTTTGGTGAGCAATCTGCTTTTATCAGAGATCGCATGATTACGGACATCCTGCTTATTGCGCAAGAATGCATTCACTCAAGGAAGGTTGCTGAACTGTCAGAAGTAGTAATCAAATTGGATATGGAGAAGGCAATTGACCGAGTTGAATGGCAAATCCTACAAGAGATTATGAGAAGAATGGAATTTGGAGCAAGATGAATATCCTGGATTTTGGGGTGTCTCTCTTGAGCTCATTTCTCGGTCCTCATTAATGGCAGCCCCAAAGGATTCTTCAATGCCACCAGGGGAATTAGACAGGGAGATCCCCTATGTCCTTTTCTTTTTACCCTAGTCGTTAAAGGCTTTAGTTTGATGCTTAAAAATATTGTGAGGGCTAACTTTATTTCAGGCTTTAAGGTCTCCCATGCTGGGCCAGTTCTCTCCCATCTCCACTATGCAGACGATACTCTGATTTTCTATGATGCAAGTCGTGAGCAGATCAAAAACTTGAGTACCTTTCTCTTTTACAGCCAGCCAGTTCTAGGCCTCAATGTCAACTTTCATGAAATGTCGATTGTGGGTATTTCTTGCTCTAATGGCGTCGTAGGTACTCTTGCTACTATTTTGGGCTATAAAGTTGATAAATTCCCTTTGACCTAATTTGGGGTTTCCATCTCTGACAAAAAGCTCATGGGAGCAGCTTGGGATCCTCTAATTCATAAATATCAAGTTAAGTTGGATTTATGGAAGTCTAAAACTTGGTCTTTGGGTGGCCGTGTCACTTGGTTAAATCCTCCTACTCAAATCAGCCCATTTATTTGATTTCCATCTTGCAAATGCTCTGGGAAGTCATTCAGATTATTGAAAGAAATATGCGAAATTTTATATGAGGGAATGTGGATGAAAACCCGCAAAAATTCCATTTAGTGAATTGGAGCAGAGTTTGTACACCTGTCAAATCTGGAGGTCTGGGTATCCGTAACATGAAACTTATGAACTTGGCACTTTTGTCCAAGTGGTGGTGGAAAATTTTCAAAATTCTTACTGTCATTGGAAATAAGTTCTGATGGCCAAATATGACTTTGATTGCATATCCCACTCAATCAAGAAAGGCAGAGGTGGACATCATACTTCACAAATGTGGAAATATATCTTTAGCTGCAAAAGAATTGTCTCAGGCAATATGAGGTCGTTAATTGGCAATGGGGACTGCACTTACTTTTGGTTCAATAAGTGGCTAGATGATGAACCATTGTGTTCCTCATTCCCTGATCTCTTTGCTAAAGCTGCTTCATCTGTTGCGACAATCTCGGATTTGGCTTCTACTACTTCTTCGGGATGGAACATTAGCTACATATACAACAGACTTCCAGATTCCACCATTTCGCAACTACAAGCCCTGCTGCATCGCCTTAACAATGTTTATATTTCTCCCTCTTTTGAGGACGAGATTATCTGGGAGTCCGAAATAGATGGAGTGTTTTCAGTGAAGTCCGCTTATAGACTTCTCTTTTGGGATATAGTTCTTTAGATTGATAGCGCACTTGGTTTAATATGAAAGTGGCCTATTCCTGTGAACGTTCAAGTTTTTTTTAGGTAGCCTTTCAAGGTAAATGTCTCACAATTGATAATCTTCAGAAGAGGGGCAAGGTCTTGCCCAATATTTACCTCATGTGCAAAGCCAATGCGGAGATTCGATCTCATCTTTTCTTATACTGCCCATTTGCTGCCTACGTATGGCATTGGGCTTTCTCCTTATTAGGCTTCCACCTTATGATTCTTGAGAACCTCATCAATATTATTGACCATCTTTCTGGCCTTGATTTACCAAAGAAAGGTATGGTCATCCGGAAGATTTTTAAAAGTGCTATTTTGTGACATATTTGGTTAAAGTGCAACAGGAGAACCTTTGATGGGGTTCCTCAAAGATTGGAGGGGATCAAAGATCGCATCTTGCTGTCCTTATGGGATTGGTTTTCAAACACCTTTGATGCTTGTGGTGTTTTTTGATCTGACATTTACGTCAATCTTAGAAATTTGGCATTTTCTTTCTCACATTTGGGTCGTCTTTTTAGGACCTGACAGTTACCTTCTAAAGGTTGTCTTAAACTCAAGGTTGATGAAAGTTCTTTAAGAAACCCCGGGTTGACAGGTATTGGTGGAATTATTTGAAATCATGAAGGGGTGGTTCTCTTCTCTTATGTTGGCCCTTGAGTTGTGTTCCCTCCTTCAAGGGCTGCAAATTATAATGGACAGAGGTATTATTCTCATTGAAAGAGACTGCATGAATGTTATTAAATGGTGCAAACACGAGCAAAGGGTCCCTTGAAATTTCCATAGCTTTTGGATTAGAATACTTGATCTTGTGCTACACTGAGTCTGCAAGTCTCTTTCAACCACACTTATTTCGAGGCTAATGACATAGCTGATGGGCTTGCCAAGTTTGGAGTCCATCTTCCTTCTTGGCTTGTTTCTAATACTTTAATTTCTTTCTTGTAATCCATGCTTTTACAACATTTATTTAATACCGGCACTTAAAATTTGTCAAAAAAAAAAATAAAAAAGAAGATTTTGGGCAATTTCTTGAGGAAAAAAATTATAGGTTAAAAAATATAAGCACTCTTTTTCGAGGAAATCTTTACATGCGGTGTCATCCACATATAAATCACATGTGATCCCTATTTCTAATAGATTAGACGGTTCAGATATGTTCAATCACAATTCATGCTTATACAACTACTTTATTTTCAATTTTTGTTTTCGAAATCAATTTCACATGGAATTTAGGGTTTGTCCTCACTTAAAAAAAAAGTATTTCTAATTAGGAAATGACCAACTACCCTTGCAAATTCCAGTGGTATTTAGGCTATTTTTCATCAAAATTATCTTTTCTTATTTTTATCAGGTGCCCTGTGAGTGTGTGTGCACCTCCACATTTCATTGCAAACTGATTCATAAAATAAAAAATAAAATTTTTATACTTTGAGTTATCCAATCAAAATAACACTTAAAAATTGACTTGTAACATTATGCCTCAAGTCCAACCGTCTCATTCAACTCAAATGGCTGAGAATGAAGGTTTAATATATTTTATATGTGAGTGGCACCACATGTAAAAAGATCTGTCTAAAAACCCCATCTCATAAATGAGGCTTATATTTTTGATAAATAGAATTAAGAGAACGTGGCGATCACGGTGAAAGGCGTTCATGTCCACCTCAATCATATAACGAGCCCCATTAACCGTTTAAACCATTTTCAAAGAAAGGAATGGTTTCTACAAATTTTCTCGCTCACAAATTCTTGACTTCGATAAACAATGATGGGCAGTGAAGAATAAGCTTTAACCATGATCTCATTTAGTTATGTTTTGACCTTTGGGTCTGACAATGGCAATTAACTCCAAAATAACAGACATTAATTTCAAATGAGAGTGCAGGGAAACATATACATAGATCACATATGAGGACCAACCTATGAGAAGGATGGCTGATGGGACAAAATCCAAAATAATCCACAGTAGAGTTAAAGGGAGTTTTATAACATCATACAAACAGAGAATTGCCAATGTTCAACAAGCCTAGATCTCAGCAATCTTCATTTTTCCAACACAAAAGAGCACCGCAGACTTGAGTCTCCGAATTCTCCTTAATAGTGCACTTAGTCATCTTAATATAGAATTGCCATGTAATCAACATTGCAAATGAGTGAAAAGTCACATCATCTTGCATGTTTAAGCCGTAGCACCCTCTTTCTGCAAAAAACAAGAAATGAACGAAGTAATTAATAAAATTTCTTGTAATTCCCTATCCTGTTGAAAACGTTAAGTACAAAAGCACCACCTTTACTTCCTGGTTATGTTTTTGCAGCATCTTTAGTCCTTTGCATTTTTGTCCCTTTAGATTTCCATTCTCGATATCCTGAAGAATGCCAACCCTTTCAATGCACTGAGACTATACCTTTGACACCCCACAACTCCAAGCATTAAATAAAAAAGCCAGAACTCAGAAGATGCAACAACTTGAGAGGTGTAATATGAATAGGACATGTGATATTAGACAACAAAGTCAACAAAAGAAGCTGATCCTTTAACAAGACAGAGTAGCTGGAGACCACCTAGAATTTTGTGACCCATGTATGCAAGCTTGGCAAAAGATCCTCCCCTTAGCCCTTGGGAGGAAAACAATAAAGGGGAAACCACCTAGGAATATTACCATTTAAACAAAGAGACTGGACAGTTACATTCAAATTCAAACTAGGAGAACCAATGATGAGACCTAATTACAAATTTTTAGACAAACTAGCTCTTAGATACTTGATATAAATACCATGGCTATAGCTGGAGACTAGTTCTGCCATCTCTGATTGCTGTAAGCACCATCATATTGCTTCAAGCTATTGTATCCCATGTAAAGATAAAAGCATACATCCTAGATTATGAATCATTACACAATGACATCGGTGTAACTTGTATCCAAACATTCGCTTCTGATCCTAGATGATGAGCCCGAGGCTTGGTTTACAGTATCATTCATAGTTTGCTTGATGTGGATGGGAACAGGTCCCGGAGTTCATGCTCCACATATTCTAATAGTTCTCTTCTCTGGAGAAGCATCAAGAAGAACTGAACAAGCTCCCATTCCCATTTGGTACTACAATTTAAAATGGGGAGACCATACGGGTTAGACAAAGTAGCATTCATAAGCACAATCCTTCCTTCCAAAAGACCTTTTCAACCAATACAGGAAGCCTATTCCTAAACCCTCCAACCGATGAACCTTCGGTTATGACATAGATGGTAAATCACCACCAACAAATAAGCACAGGGAGTCTCTCTACGTGCTTTCCAACAACACAAACAATGTACCTAACTTGATCTTATTGCACTAGTTAATCCTGTCATCATAATCATTTTAAGCTTTTTGTTGCAGAAAAATCTAGAACAATGCGAGAGTAATTTTAAGCTTTGTTCGGGGAGTTTGATATCTTAGAGTCATGTTTGGCGCGAGAGTAATTCAGGCGGATGCCCTTGCTAAAGAAGGAGCCTGTAATCCCTTGACCGAGTAGAATAGGACAGTGGCTTGTAGCACCTGCTGGCTCCTCTTTGGAGTCCAAGCTTTTATAGTGTTCGTCTGGGTTCCCTTAGGTGTTATTCTCCCTTGTTTGATTGTACGGTTTGTACCTAGGCCCCAGTTGGGGGGCTTTTCTCTTGTAACTTTGCGATTATAGTAATAAAATGTTAACATTCTCAAAAAAAAAAAATGTAAAACAATACCACAATTACAATCTGCAAGTGGGGTACAAAACTACAACAGAATCACACTATAAAAATCTTTGACAAGACCAATAGCCCCATAGTTAAAGGGAAAGGCGGGAGGGGATGGAGCTGAATGTCTTGAGTAGCTTCTAGGAGCTTCACAACGGTAGGAACCTAGCCGCTCGTTGTGAAATTATATGCCCTACTTACTAAGTCCATGATTTACCAAAACTTATGGTCATGAACATGCAGTACACAAACCTCTTTCAAACTACCAATTTTCCAAGACTGATTTGGAGTGAATAGTCCATAGCAATCCAGCTGCAGATCTGGAAACCAGTAGTGCATGAACTGGGGTACCACTGAGCATCTGCTAACCTTTTACTCTTTTAACATGTTTAAGGTCCCCATTACATTTAGCTATAGCAGTAGAGTATTTCATCTAGCCCTAGAGAGATTTAAAAATAATCATGCAGATCCCCAATATTTAATCTCAGTATATTTCGGCCCCTTCTCTTGATTAAGCTACTGTACTGTACTACTATAAGATGATCGATACTGAAGGCAAAGGTTTAGAGGATTGCAGGATTTGGACAGGTACACTCCTAGAGTGGCGGGTCTTTTCTGAGCTGGGGTGCAGCAAGAGAAACCTTAGAAATGATCACTTAAAGTACTGGCTAATGGGTCTTGTATGTACAGAAGTCAGGGGAAAACGTCAGTCACCTCCATCTATCTCTTTTTGCAGGGAGAATTCAATTTCCAAAGTACGGATGTTGATCAATATTGTTTTCTTCATAATCCCCATTGGTGCAAGAATGGGGTAAAGAGTTCGAACAAGGAAGCAGTATCATGGTAGAACTGTATGAAAATCCAAAGAAAAACAGAGCCAGGTTGAAATGTGTACAAGGAAATCAGACCAGATCAAAAAATCTATTCTGAAAGATATGCTAGTGAAAGAATTTGAGTGTCTAGCCAAAGAGTCAAAACAGATTTATTGGGAAGGCCAAATAAGATTATGGGGGATACCCCCCAACCAAAAAGGAAAAAAATAAAACACTGATGATGTTAAGTTGTTAATCCAAACTTTTGTGATAGTAAAAACAAAAAAAGAGACTCTAGACACAACTTTGGTAATGCTACAACAATATACTGATAGCAGAGTCTAAAGAACATCCCAGTCTAAGGCTTATTTTTACTGTTCTATTGGGGCTCGAGGCCATTGGGTACAATCCGAAGATCATTAGGTGTTTTGGTTGGCTACTAGAGCTAGAAAATTCCTCTTCAGTAAAGGCATGGCTGAGTTGGTTGAAGTGAACATTTCTACTAGTGTTTCATGTAAGCTTCTTCCATAGATGGGAATTCAATGTTCTTAGATAGTTGAGATAGTATCATAAGGTTCAATGGAGGATGGAGGGTATACATCTGGATGTTAGGGAACCAATTAGAACAAGAACAAGAACTTCATATGCATGTTCACTACTCAATTCATTCACATTGCGTAAGCATGATGTCATATGTTGACACTTTAGAAACAGCATGCACAGAAACACACATCATGTAATCCTGCAACTTGTGAACGCAGGATTCAAATCATATTTATCAGTAATTAAGTTATGAATATGAATGTGCAAAGCACATAACAAACAATTGTCTCAATACGAAATAAATTAAAGAGATCATTGAATGATACAACCAAAGTGTGCAGATGCCGCCACATATCACCACTAGATATGGCAGATTGGCTTCCAAAACAAAGTCGTTGAATTGGATGGCTAGTGAGATGAACTACCAGAATGAATCTGTTTAGTTTAGAAATTTAACCAACAAATTTTATTTCTGCATCTTTAAAAAAGAGGACAATGAAAATAAGAAAAAAGAAAATCAGGAGAACTGAGAAAAAATAAGGAACTGAAAAAACAGTTTAGCAAGCATATTTTTTTAATTTCTTTTAATTTGAAACCAGGAAAGTCACACATATTTAGAGTGAGTATTGGTATACAAAGCATCAACATTGCCTTCTTTTAAGAGTCCTATTGGCTCATCACATGAACTCTACAGCCTCCTGCTAGTAGTATCCTTACACCTCTGTTCAGCAACAGATTTTCAAGCTCAATGCAGCAACATACTTATTTTTTATTCTCAATTTTCTTTTCTTTTTTTCAAAACACAAACCCACATGTTTGCAAATAGAGAGGTCGAGCCCCTTCGCCAACCCAATATACCATTAACATTACAATGCTTGCTAGCCTTAAAAGAAACAAATTGCCCACTTCCTAATTCTGTGAACAAGTTGCGGAATTGATCAATTTTTGTCAAACTAACCAACTCTTAACCTGATTAACAGTAGGGTTGTGAACTGGATCAACCTGCGGCAGATCCCAGAAAATTAGCCCAATCAAGCAAACTGACCAAATTTCAACATAGACGAACTCTCAAACAGCCTCCCTTACATAAAAGTACTTTAACTTGGCATTTCACATAGCTCTCTTACTAAATAGGATCAGAAGCAGAATTGTGGAGATTGGAATAGTTTAACTTTTCAATCTTAACAGAAAAGGAAAACATCTCACACATTCATTAGCAAGCAGGGTGATGCAGGAGAAAATGGTGATTTTCTAATGATTTTGCATATCCAGAAAAGCATGAAATACTTTCTTCGTTTTTTTATACAATCATTCGCAATATCACACGCACGCGCACACAGCTGCCTGCCAACCCACCCATGCTCGCACACTTGCATGCAAGCGCACATATACGCATGCGTGAATGCACACACATGCATGCACACATACACACAAGCGAGCAATGCCTGCACACACACACACATAAGACATTTTCCTATGCAGAGTAACCTCTTGATTTTGTCAAGGATTTTTTGTTTCCTGGAAATACAATTTTCATATCGATTGCTGCATGGTAAATCTTCAAACCTCTCCCATAGGATAATAGGACAATTTAAAAGTGACAAACTTTCTAGGATTTACAAGCTGTGATATTTTACAATTGATTAAGGTGGTCAAATCAGGGACATGGCAAGGTTGGATGATTGGATCCCACAATGCTTGAATAAGAAGCCCACTCAATGTGCTGAACTAAGGGAATTCAAAAAGCTTTTTTGCATGCATTTCAGCATATCTATCAATTGTATGATGTCCCATATTGATGTATGTTCGCGTATATATGCAGAAATTCTTTTATCAAGTAGATTGAAGGATATTCTGCCCCAAATCATCCTTGGATGGGAACTTGTTGACACATTAGTTAGTATTCTAAACACATATCTCAGCAGCCAAATTAACCAACAAATGACAAGATTAGATAGGGAGTATATTGCGCTCTTCATCACAGCTTCTTAGAATCTAGTTACAAGAAATACCAATCTAGTGAAATTGGGCATGTTCTTCCTTTTCGGACAACCAAATGGTAGGATTAAAAGATGGGATGTAATGTTCCAGTAGTGAACACCTGAACCACTTGCAGGGACACACACAAGATAACTGAACCTGCATTTTTACTTGGTGAAACATATTTCACAATTACTTCACAAATCATGCTGACATCTGTTTAATGTCTGGCAAACACCAAAATCCTTAGATGCTTGTGGCTTCCATCTTTAATTCCGGGAGATGTAGTTTTCCCTAATTCCATACCCAAATGACAGTCCAATATCAAGAATACCACAGGCACTGATTTTTAACAAAAGTAAATACCCCCCTGTGCCTTAAAAGTACATGCAAACAACAAAATAATTTCGATAAGTGTAAAACCATATTCATTACGAGGATGGACCATGGGTACTGCAATGGTTTGCGTAATTGTAAACACAAACATTCATGTAGCAGGAATACAAGAAAACAATGAAAAGCCAAACTAAGAAATCACGTGAATCAGATCACCCAACAAAGAAAAACAAAGAGAACCTTTTCTCCATTCAGAAAGTAATACATCAAAAAGTTTAAATGAAATTCATCAGTTGTTTTCTTTCCGGCTTTCTGCCAATGAGTTGTAATCATACTGCTCAAACAATTGTGAACTACATACGGGTGATAAAAATGAGATAGAGCAAGCATTCGCCAATGTTTGTAATTTTAATAAACTACTCAAGTACAGTCCTGGATCATGGAAAACATATGAAAGCAAAAAAATGCAATGAGAAAAATTAAAGATAAAATAGAATCAAAAGGATGAAAACCCATCACAAGGGAGAACGCACCGTTGCATTGGTCTCGTAGTACTCATTGAGAGCCCACTGATACTTGGACTGGTTCAACCCAAACAGATCAGCCAAATACTCATCAACACTTGAATGCACTGCCACCCAAAAACCCCAACAAAGAAACCTAGTTAATATTTTTATTGAGTTGGTTGCAGATCGAGAACAAATCAAAACTTTATTGAGACGACTACAAATGAAGAACAAATCGAACAAAAAAACATGAAAATGTTAAATGAAGAAACCGTTTCATGATCGAAAGAAAGTCCCATATGAAAAACTAATAAAAACCCAAGAAACAAATGCGAAACACAGAAAGCCACTCAGGATTTTTAGCAAATTTCACATGAAAAAACCAATCAAATGCCAAAATGTCAAGCAAAGAAACCCAATCAGGCCCTTCAGCCAGTTCTAGATGAATAAATACTCAAAACCCACAAACCATGATATCATACCATGCTGGACCTTCGCAATAGCTGACCAGAAGAAACCGAAATGCGACGAAGACATCGTATTTTTTGGAGTTTCGAACTGAAGGGGAGGGGGTTGAACAGGAGGAGATGGCTTGGCCTCAGGGATAGGCGTTCGAGGGGATAGTGGTTTGGGGGATGGTGTTTGAAGGGGTGCAGTTTGGGGGGGTGATTGCTTGGGGGTGAGGAAGACTGTGTATCTTCCAGCTTTTCCAATAATGGGGGGAGGAGTTTTGGGATTCGCCATTGAATGCGTTGCTTGTGTCAGAAGCAGAAGGTCCAGAGAGAAGCCCAAATAGTACAGCAGATGAAAGGAGAAAGAGGAGAGAGAATCAAACGCAGATGACAGTGAGAGAACCAAACTCAGAAGAAGAGAGACCCCAAATGAACAGCTAAGAAAGAGATTCAAAAGAAGACAACCCCAAGAGAAGAGAGACCCCAAATGAACAGAAGAAAGAGATGCAAAAGCAGATGACCCCAAGAGAAGAGAGACCCAAATAACCAAGAAGCAAGAAACTACAGAGAGAGAGAGTGCAGTGGCTGCTATGCTACAGCACCACTCGCAGGCCGCAGCTTCGTGGGGTTGTGGGAGTATGAGCTGCCTGCCTCTCTGAAATTTCAATCTCAGTTTCTAGAGTTTCAATTTCAACGTCTTTGGGCTTCACCCCTCCCTTTAGCTCAAGCCTCCTCGTCTGAGCTGAGCAATTAATCATTGGGTGTTACCCGTGTTTGGAAGAGCGGATCGGTGACTTGGATTCGGATTCGTCATGGCTTCGGGTTTGGTAGTTTGAAATTGATTTGGATATGTAGATAAGTGTTGTGGATGCTAGATGGGATCGATCCGGCTTTAAAGCAGTACCAAAAAAATTTACTAGATTTTTTCGTATTTAAAAGAAAAATGGTGTGGTTCATTAGGAATATTTTTAAAAAATTATCAAAAAAATCTTACTAGAACATATTAAAATTCATTTTTTGTATTTCAAAGAAAAATGGTGTGGTTCATTAGGAGTATTCTTAAGAAATTATCACAAATATACTTCAATTTTCGCTTAATTGGAAAAAATACTTTCAACTTTCATAAACCTCATCCACACCCTTTTTACTTATTTTCGGGATTTTTTTACTAAAATAACATTTACGATAGTCGTATTACGCGTAATAACTATCGTATTTTATACGGTATTTTAAATGCCGTAATAAGTTGAAGTAATATTACAATACTTTAAGTACCGTAAAAGCTAACCCATATTATACGGCATTTTAATTACCGTAAAGAGTTGAATTCTTATTATGGCATTCAAATTGCCATAATACTATCAAACCTTATAACCCTAACCCGAAACCGTTTTTTTCTTTACGATTACGTTTCCACTGTTTTCTGGGCTCTATTTTTCTTCTCAACTTCAAGATTTCTTGTGCTCAATCTCCCAGGGTGTCTCTTTCTCCCTCATTTCCCTCACCTCATTAGATCTTTGATGTAAGAAATCTTTCTCCAAATTTATTTTTTTAATTACTTTATAGCATTTTAACCAATTTAGGGTAAGTACATCGTATATTGCCAATTTTAGGTTTTTTCTCTAATTTGGGGCAAATTTGGTGAGTTTTCTATTGGTTTTTTAGCTTATTTTGGAATGGTGTTTTGGTGTTGGCATTGTTGAAATAAATACTATATACTATTTTGAGTTGATATAGCTTTGATTACGAGTTCAAAATAAGCATGAAAATACTCCACTTTGAAATTTCTTGTTTATTCAATTATTCTTGAGTAGTATTCATGCTCATGAAACCAGAATGCTCTAGATTATATCAATAACATTTTTGCAGCAAATCTACGATTTCTTTATTATGACAAATCGTAGATTTCGGAGTGATTTATGGAAATACATATGAAAGTGATTTCTTGTTTACCTTGTTAGTTACTTTGTGTCCCAATTATGATTGAATGGGCTTCTGTAGTTTCTTCTTTTGATATCTTGATGGCTACATTGTCCCACATCAAGTAAGAGCATGTTCTTTCTTTTTTTTTGGGTAGATGTAAGAGTTGTTCATTCTCTTAGCCATTTTACCTTATCATATTGACATCTTTAAATTCTTTGGAACCCATTACTAATTTAAAAACTAGTTTGAAAACCTATCACTTGTGATTTGTCTCCTAAAAGCAATCTATCTCCTACTTAAAAACTAGCTTAAAAAATATAAATAAGGCAAATTGGGAGGTTTTATTGTTCACCTTTATGAGCTATGGGCTTATGTTAAGATATGGCAGATGGGAAACAATTGATAGAGTCAAAATAAACCAAAATTATACACATCTGCCTTGACGGTTATCGATTGATTCTTGTGTTATTCATGAGCCACACACATATCCCCTAGAATGTTCTTTTATTGATTGTTCTTTTACGTTGCCATATCCTTGGTCTGCTGTTTGATAGATCAGTAGTAGTCTATTTACCATGAGTTTGTTGTTTGTGATGGGTTTTTTAATAGGGATCATGGTAGAAGATGCACAATGCCCTGGAGGTCCTGAAATTCCTACATTGCTTAATAGACAAAGTGAACATATATCATAAAAGAAGATGTATGTACAATTGTTTCAAATTATATTATTTATCTATCTTGTTGGTTAATCAATTTAGTTATTTTAGTATTTGAAATCACAAATTATATTTCATAATTGGGAAAATCCCCTTAGGATTGTTTAGAAGGCCAATGCAGCTCTTTTATGACCTTTAACAAACAATGATCAAATCAATTTGGTCAAAAGATCAGGATTGTATTATCTGACAATAGTACCGATGACTCACCACGACCTTGGCACATTGGCTAATATGATCGAGAGGTGGCGAGTAGAGACGAACACCAAGCACTTCAATATAAATGTCAGAGAGATGATGCTTATTCTTGAAGATGTATGGAAAATTCTCCGGTTAAAGGTGACTGGTATAGCTGTAACTCTTAGGAGAGTGGAGAAGTATGGGGATTATATAGTCTGTATGATAGGACAGCTGCCACCTGGTGGCAACCATTCTATTATCTTACTGATATGATTGATGTACACTTTTAAACAGTTGCGGCATAACTATAACCGTATCACCCTTTTACAACACACCCGTGTCTGCCGCCTATATCTAGTCGGTTGTACAATCTTTGCAGATTCCACAGATGGTACAGTGCCTACAATATATTTACAACTTCTTGAGGATATGGAAGCAGTTGGTCAGTATGCATGGAGTGCAGCTGCCCTAGCTTTCTTGTTTCGAGCCTTGTCAAAAGTTGTTTGTCCTGATCACCAACACCTAAGTGGATCAACCACTCTTTTGCTAGTAATGTTGCTATGTTAATGTTTTAATAGTTTTTTTAAAATTTGATAGATATGTTTGGTTGTAATACTTATTTTTTATACATGCATTTCAGTAATGGGTGTACGAGCACTTCAAATTGTTGCGCCCAATTCTAAAAAAATTAAGGGCAAGGCAACCTAGATCCCTCATGGGGGCCTCTCTTAGAGAATGAGATAACACTCATAACTTCCCTCTTGTGGGACGACAAGAGACCGATAATGCGTAGATAAATCATGTTAGTATAGAGTAGTTATCATTGATTTTGTTTATCTATATTTTAATTAATTTTTTGCATTGGTTTTTTAATTTTAATTTTTTTCTTTATTGGTCATAGGTCATATGGACCCCATACGATGATTATCATGACTTAGGAGAGGAAACTGAGGAGGACAAAGATTACGACCTTATTGTTCATCAGATTACTTTGTGTCGCAAATACCCCATATGTGGAAACATTTGCGAGGGGTACATACCAAATCGTGTGCTCCGGCAGTTGGGACTTCACCAAGGGATACTGGCTGATCCCTTGCAGTGGGAGAGGAGGGAGAGAAAGAGGAAGAGGACCGAGAACTGAGTAGATGAGCTTCTAAATGAAATAGATATGTGGAAGAACATGTTAGATTATATGTGCCAGGCAGCTGAAGATATGTTCAATGGAAGGCCGACACAATAATACATCGAGTGGTATAGGTTAAGGACTAGGCCCTTAATCCATAATCCATTTAGGAAACGTCCCTCTAGATATACACCTCTAGGTTATAACGATGAAAATATAATGGTAAGAATATTTTAGAATCAGTTTTGTTTTATTCACGACTCTTTAATTTTAGAAGTAATCTATTTTCATATGACTTGATGCAGCCTAGGGACATCAGCCACGCAATTCAACTTATATGTGAAGGTCACAATTCAAGGAATTGAGACCTAATTGGGGAAGCATTAGAATCGTTGAAAATTTACAACCTAGAAGCTGCAAGGGATGATGATGCATTTGAGGAATTAGAGTTGGATGATGAGATGGAAGATAACGTGTCACCGGTATGACACCTTTCTCTACTAAATGAGGGGCCAAGTAATACACAACCCATCCCCACATCGATTCAACCAGAGGAGCTTATATGGCAATTACGTCCTCGCATAGTAATATAGTAGAAGAGCAACGCAAATACACAATTGCAGTAGCCACAATGGCGTGAGAAGTTGTTTGTACGATATAAGTGTTCATCATGATATTTTATGTTTTTTTGTTGTAAAGAGGCCAGTAGTGCCTATATTGTGTAAAGGGGCCAGTAGTGCTTATACTGTTTTTTTTTTATGATATGTGAGATATTTATGAAAAGTTAAAATATCAATATTTTGTGATATTTGTATATTTATGTTAATGAGTTTATAACACTGCTTTGCATCCTATATAATTATTGGAATCAGGTGCAATGAGACTATTTACCTTTGATACATGGTGATCACAATTCCTTACAACAATTTGATGTGAAATTTGATAGCTTGGATGTGTCACAAAGTTCTAGAAGATGTGAAATTTGATAGTTTGGTGGGTCAAGATTAATATGACCATGGGATGTGAAATTTTCTTGAACTATGTGAAAAATCCAAGCTATCAAATTTCAAAAAAGAAGGCTTAATCTTAATGTATGTGTTGTTTAAGCTATTCAATTTTAAAAAGAAGTGTTGTTGAAGCCATTCAATTTTTAAAAAGTATGTGTTGTTCAAGCTCTTAAAAAGAAGACTTAATGTATGTGTTGTTCAATTTTTAAAAAAGCATGTGTTGATCAAGCTATTCAATTTTAATAAGAAGACTTAATCTTAATGTATTTGTTGTTCAATTTTTAAAAAGTACGTGTTGTTCAATTTTAAAAAGAAGTGTTAAAGTCATTCCGGTCTTTCTTTTACTCTTTATAAAAAGGACCACAATAGTCACGTCTTTTTTCTACCGTAATGTCTACTTCAAGCATTACAATACTTTCAAGACCGTAATGCATGGAAACTATTGGAAACCTTCTGGGGTTTTCGTGCATTACGGTTTTGAAAGTATCGTAATGCGTGAACTAGACATTAAGGTAAAAAAAAGACCGTAATGAGTATTATGGTCTTTTATCAACCGTAATGTCTAGTTTAGAGTTTACGGTACTTTCAAGACTATAATGCACAAAAACTACTAGAAAACCTTCTGGAGTTTTCGTGCATTACAGTCTTGAAAGTACCATAATGCTTGAACTAGATATTACGATAGAAAAAAGACAGTAATGCCTTTTATGGTCTTTTATGTACTGTAATTACCAGCTGTAACATTACAATACTTTCAAGACCTTAATGATAAAAACCTACTGGAAAACCTTCTGAAGTTTTGAGCACTATGGTCATGAAAGTAACGTAATGGTCTAACTATTTGTTACGGTATAGAAAAGACCGCAATGGGCATTATAGTATTTTTTTTACTGTAATTATAAAGTCGGACAAAACGATGCAAAAAAGATCGTAATAATGACTTTAACATTTTTTTAAAAAAAATTTAAGGTGACTAAAGATTTTGATTAGAGGCTCGAATGAAATGAGACTCAAAATTAAATAGGCACTCAACTGTAGAGATTCCATAAATTGAACCAACGTAGAGATTCTATAAATTGAACCAACATGAAAATCAACTGTAGAGATTCCATAAATTGAACCAAAAAGCCATATCAAATAAGATCAACTGGCAGTACTAACCTATTTACAAATTCAGATAACAAAAAATACATGTAAAAAAGAGCATATAAAAACAGATCAACTGACACTACTGGCTTCTTTACAAATTCAGATAACAAAAAAAGCATATAAAAAAAGATCAATTGGTTCTTTTGGCCTCTTTAAATCATTTCAAATACTTGATTTGCATTCTTTCCTGTTACGACCTACGCAGCAGCTACACTTAAGAGGTCTAATTTCTTTGTATTCTATTTATCTGTGTCGTTTATTTGGCTAACCCATGATTCGCCTTGTAGTTGGTGGTAGTACTGTTGTATAAACAATCTCTGGCAACTCAAGTGCATCAGGCATAGGGTTAAAGGGAAGGGAATATGCTTTGCAGTACATATCCACTATGAAATAAACACTGTAATATTCTGTAACATATTGATGCCTATAATATACAGCGGCGATTGCATAACTGCACGACAACCCACTAACGTGCTATAACTGAAATATACATGTATGTCTCGCCAGATCAACAAAATATTTCTTATCCGTATTGATCTCATACATACCATCATGTATCCATATGTCTGTATTAAGGAATCTGGACTTATCCCTCCTATGATTTATTACCTTTTGGGCCTTCGGTGTAAGCACTCTGCTCCATTCTAGGGACTTGGCTATCTTCTTACCAAATTTTTTTATGAGTTAAACCTTTGGCATTCAAAGAGTTTAATGAGGGGCTTCTCTCGAGCCTTTAATATCCACATGCTAAATGATTTAGAGATGTTCGATGTCATACGGTTGTATCTACATCCCTGAAAATGTGCGTTTGCCCAAGTTTTTAGATGTTGTTTTATGATCCAAATATAGGCCTCAGCATTTGCACTCTTAATTTTTGACATGTACTCATTGAACAATGATACAGTTAATGCACATGCCGTTTTCCAATAAAATTTTGTGAGCGTTGAATTTCTAGATTCATTTTTAAGTTATCGGTTAAGTGACATATACAATACTCCTACTCACTGGTTGGGAATATTTCTTCAATTGCTGCTTGCAACCCTTTCTGACGATACAATCGGCAAAGCTGGCAGATCAGGTCTCTCCTGAAATTGCTCATTAAGAAGCTCTAGAAACCATGTCCTACTTGGTGTATTTTCACTCTTAACCACTGGACATACTATGGGAAATACAGTTTTATTTGCATCTATCCCAACCGCGGCCAATAGTATCCCTTTGTATCTTCCCTTAAAAAGAGTCTTATCTGGTCCCATCAATGGCTTACAACCATACATAAAACCATACAAACATCAACGATTGGCTATAATCACATGTTCAAACCTATCATGATTATCTGTCTGAATAATCGTTAAGGTTCCAGGGTTAGTGATTCAGATCTTATGGAGGTACTTGGGGATATCCTCGTATGCCTTCACATGGAACCCGTCATTTATCTCTTAGGCAACCTCTTTGCCCCACCATGCTTGTTCATAAGATAGCATGACACCGTGATCATGTTGTACATCATTAATAACATGTCTAGGTGTCGGATTGAGCATATCATTTAAATGGTATTTCATTTTACTCGCCACTCAATGGCTTTGAGCAAGGGGCTGATGAACCTTGCCTATTGCGTCGGCACAAGAGTGCTTGTTTACAAAGTTCTTCACCCTGAAGAAGTTTGTTGTATTAACTGTCCATCTGTAGCAGACCTCGCCCATACACGTCTTTCCTCGCTTTTTATGAACTTCATATTGAAGTTTTGTGATATGGCATAATTAATAAGTGATTACGGCATGCCTGTATGTCATCAAAATTCTGGCCCTGATGAAGCACAACTTCGTAACGGTCAAATCCTGATCGGGCTTTCTATCGAATAGATGTTGTCGATATGGCGCTCGATTTTTGAATCATGCTCATCTTCACTCTGGACTACTTGTTCTGGTCGGGTGTCGCTGTCGAAAAAGTATTAGAAGCATAAGTGAGAATTTTCCTACCCATAACATCTGCACTAAAAATATTATCAAAAAAATAAATAAATTTCATTGCAAACTTCTTACATGACAAATCTTGATGGACCATTATCCGGCACTGTTGGTGGTTAAGATTCGGTGGAGTCTGATTCAATAGGTCTATTGGATATGTACATAACAATGAGAAAAGACCCTTTCATCATATTTGCAATGTCATCATCGTAGTCAATACGTATAATATTCCTGTTACTTGGTAACTCTGGGTCAATATACCTAATCGACATGGTACTTGGGGCATAATTTGTTACTTTTGATAAGTGAGCCTTTATTTGGTCGAAGGATGGATCCCCATAAAAAAACATAACCTTTAGGTCTCCACCATCATAGAAAACACATCCATCATTAGAATTCCTCTTAAAAGAACCACCAAAGTGTAAAACGATTTTTACTCTATCGTCACCTATGATTGGTGCGTGCAAGCCTAATCAATACTTAGATCTCCAATTTAAGATGGAAACAAATATGAAATGAAAATTTTTGGAATCAATAATGGAAGAAAGCAATGCATGTATAAATGTTTCAAAATATTTATATATAATTAGGAGGTTTCATTACAGAAAGATATTAGTTTGAGATATAGATGCCATAATATAAATACAGATCCAAAACTTAGGTATATACTGTTTTTTTAAAAAAAATTACAATGGCCAACCCAACTACATCGAGAACTATAGAAAAAAAAATTAAAAACTGGTGTTCACACATCCAAAGAAATATAATAAAAAGGTTGACAATTTTGATGACATACCTATAAAATGGTGTTGGTATGTATATTTGATACTCACGGGTTGAGAAATAGCTCTCAGAGACCTTGTTCAGAGATTGAAAAATACAAGGGGAGGATAGAAAT